CATTGGCTCAGGTTAACACCTGTGCTATTGCTGAACAAATTAAAGTTACAAATACACCACGGAGAGTCACATTTAATGTCCCTAGAACAGGTAATGGTTATTTTAGTGTTGATAGAATTTAAATTTATAAGATCACTATTTCACATGGTGTTCAGTTCACTGAGTTGGTGGTATGGTGATTAACTTGTATTCCACTTTAGTTTAAAAACTTGTGTAAATTGAGGCAAAATAGTAATATGCAAGAAATATACACCTTTTTATTTGAAAGAAATGCTATAACTTTAAGTTAACTTATTTAAATTAATTTGTATTTTACAGGTAAAAGGAAATTGCAGGGTGATGGGTCCAAATCTGCTAGAGATCTTGCCATTGCAGAATATTATAAGTTTAAAAAACTATGCCTGGAGTCAAAATTAGATAATATACTATTAGAAAATAAGAAACTTAAATTAGAAAATGAAAAACTTTTATTAGAAATAGAAAATTTTAAGAAATAGTTATTGGTCTAATACTAAGTTTAAAAAATTATTATTTTGATATATAATAGACAATAATTGTGTGTAAGTAGTTGTTAATTAATTTAAGCTTAGTATGTCTTTCATGATTTGTAATGTTATCAGTTATATATAATTTGTATTTGAAAATCATTTAAACTAATGAAATATGTATTTATTAAATGTATAAAAGGTAGATACATAGTTAAGGTTTAATTTCCTTTTTATGAATGTCTCAGTAATATAGTAATTTAAGATAAGAATATTTTTATTGAATATTTATTTTGTTTTTACCATTAAATTTACAAACTATAACAATTTATTTTCTAACTTATTCTTACAATCTTCAACCTTTAACATCAGTGTATGCCTGCATCACATTCAGCTGAGGCTTTGATAATATATATTGCAATTTGAATACATATTATTTGCACCCAAATCTCAGAACAGTTTAAAATTTAAAACTATTTAATAAAATATGAACAACTTATTCTACATACAATTTTCAACCTGTAACGCTAGTTAAGACATTCTGCAATGAGTGTAATCTTTTCTACAATGTCCTAAAATAGTTATTTATTATATCAGTCCGGTGCATTGTAGGAATATCGTCAATAACATTATGAGGCATTGTACTGTTGTCAATAGACGGTAGTTCTACTTCAGAGGGGATTTCTGTGAGATTGTGATTTCTGCAAATATTATGCAGGATTGTTGTTGCTATTATTACTGCCTGCATATTTGGTATTGACAAACGTAGTGTAAGTGCTACAACAGGGAACCTACGTTCCCATACTCCAAATGCTCTGTAACACAAACAAGTCTTTATTAAACACCAGTATTTCCATAAGACATTTTATCTAATAATACAGTTTTATTTAACATACCGTTCAATGGTATTTCTAGTTTTAATGTGTGCTTCATTGTACCTATGTTCAGCTTCAGAAACTGGATTTAGAATAGGTGTTAATAAATATGGCCTGTTAGGATAGGCACTATCTCCAAGTAACCAGCGATTTCCAAATTGGCCTGCATCACATTCAGCTGTGATAAAAATAAAGAATATTAGGCACTGATAATAAATATTGTAATATATTGCAATTTGAATACATATAATTTGCACCCACCTCTCAGAACAGAGTTATTAAATATTGTTGCATCATGCGTAGAACCAGGCCAACGAGCCACAACATTTATAAATTTCAAATCTGCATCACAAACCCCTTGAACATTTATAGAAAAGTAACCCTTGCGATTTCTGTATTCTTCACCTGTTAAATGGCCTAAAATATATAAACATTATTATTAGCAACTTCATAATTTATTTATATTTGGCAAAATTAAAAAAAAAAGTATAGTTACAAGGAGACTGTATGCGGATATGTGTGCCATCAATTGCCCCCAAGCACACGAGGAAATCCAGCAATTCTATAGAATTTGTCTGCACTCCTTTGGTGAACATAAATATATTTATCATATAATTGGGCAATTGCTAATGATGTGTCTCGCACTATTCTGCCTGCTGTAGATTTTGAAACTCCAACAAAATCTGCTACGGATATCAACATTGTGCCTAGTGCATAAAACCGTAGAGTCAACAAAAGTTGATGCAATGGTGATACTCCATAATTTCTGCAAACGATTAGATAAAATGAAATATATGGAGATTGTAAAATAATTATCTAATTTGTAATAGACCAGCTTTGCTTTACCTCGTGGAAGTTACGCGTAATAACGGGGTTATTTCTAACAATAAAGAATTGAACGCATGTTTGTTCAATCGAAACCTAAAGGTAAAATCACCGTCATCGAGACTTTGCGTATAATTCACTCTTCTGATTCTCTTTGGAGAGCGGCGTTGGGTTTCATCTTCATCACTACAGTCGGATAATTGAGCTAGCATTTCCAAATCACTGTCACTGTCACTAGATAATAACGTTAAATCCATTTTGGCGCAAATAAAATAAAAGAAAACACGTAAGAGTTTTGAACTAGAAGGATTAATCCTAGGCTTTTCTCGGATTGCGAATTTGGATTGCTTGCACCGATCGAACCAAACGTCAAATTTGACAGATAGGTTATTGATACACACAAACTGTCATTTACCCACAGAGGTGTATCTTTTTCTGTAATGCGACCTCCCAAGGATAGCTTGCTTCTACAGATAGTAATTTTAATCTCTGGATTGGTTATTGGCACTGTCTAACCATAAAATGGATTGAATTATCAATCTTGGATTGCTAAAAATAGATTAAGATCGAATATTAATTTCGGGCGTAAGCCGGTTACAATACTACATCTAATAATTTGTCTTCAAGAAATTCCCTTACCGAATAATATGATTTTTCTAAAAGTAGTGTCTTCACTTTTTTTTTAAATAAATTAATATTTGAAATTTCAAGCAGAGAGTTGGGTAAATGATTATACACTCTAGGAATCATACAAAATACACTGCTGTTTAAAAGTTTAGTTTTGTTAGACATGAAGCTTATTTGGAAAGGGCATCTCTTGCTTTTTAATTTAACAAATAAGTTACTATTATTTCTTACAAATAGTACCATATCCAGTATATAAATACACGGTAGTGTCAATATTTTAATTTTTGGAAATATCGACCTGCAGCTCTCGGTTTGTTTCATTCTGTATATAGCCCGAACGCATCTCTTTTGCGCTCTAAAGCCCAACTCTTTTCCTACAGAGTTGCCCCAAAACATAACACCACACATTAAAAGAGGAGTAACATGTCCATGGTAAGCCATTAAAACTGTGGTTGTACTGGCAGTTTTGGACAACATGTAGATCGCATATGAATATTGATTAAGTTTCGAACACAACATCTCTGTATGTGACTTCCACTTTAGTTGAGAATCAATGTTCAGTCTCAAGAATTTTGTTGTCTCTACTTCTTCAATTTTTGTTTGTGTATAGTAGATTTTCATGTCCGTTAAATTGTGAACTCTGTTTCGAAACGTCATTAATTTAGTTTTTTCCAAATTTATTTTTAATTTATTTAAAGTCAACCATTTAATAATATTGTCTAAGGTATTGTTTATCTCCAATTCTATTTGAGTTTTTTCTTTTCCTGTTAATATAATTGTACTGTCGTCAGCAAATAAAATAGTGTCATTGCTTGTTACTTTCGGGAGATCATTTATGTATATAATAAATAATAATGGACCTAGTACACTGCCTTGTGGCACACCAAAGTTATTGATTTTGTACTCTGATTCATAGTCACATACAATTTTTGTGTGTGTGAGGACACAATCTCGTTATGTGTGTAGACTGTTTTCTGTTACCAAGATAGCTCTTAATAAGATCATGCGTATTTCCCCTGACTCCATAGGCAAATTACTTATCTAGCAATATATTGTGGTCAACATAGTCAAATGCCTTTTTTAGGTCCATATAAAGGGCGCAGGCATGATTTTTATTATTCATGTTTACCATAACACTCTTTAAAAATGAAAAAACTGCCATATTTATAGTTTTTTCTTTCTGAAACCTACCTGCTCTTTAGAAATAAATTATTTGTTTCGAAATAATTATTTAATCTTTGATGAATTACTTTTTCAAAAACTTTGGATAGAACAGGTACTAATTCTATCGGTCTATAACAGCTCATGTCATTTCTGTCGTTTTTCTTAAAAATAGGTTTGATTATGGTAAACTTTAATTTGTCAGGAAAAAGGCCATGATAAATGCATTGATTGATAATATGACTCAGTACATGTGATAATTTGATAGAAACATATTTTAATACTTTGGTTGAAGTATCATCGTAACCCGTACTATTCGTAAGTTTTAAATTTAAAATAATTTTATTTATTTCATTCGGTGTTGCGGGTTTCATAATTATTAAGTGCACATTTATTTTTGTTCGACGTAGAATCAATGAATTTGCGAATCACTATTGACAGTTAGAGTCACAAGTTCTTCATAAGCAATATTTCCAGTTAACTGGGTGTGGTGTAGATCAGCATACTGTTGTGGTGGAGACAGATAAGGAGCGGTATATTCTTGAGTCATAGGCTGCCGAGTATTTTGTCGTGATACGTATTGAGACATCTCTGAATATTGGGATTGAGAAGTGCTAGCTCTTTCTCCGCTATCGCCAGCAGGACTGTGTGTAAACGAAGCTGGATTTCTGTATTTTTCCCATGTCACAGTCAAATAAAATTTTCATTATGTTGAATTGTGCCTGAGCACGGGTATAGTCATCATATTTACTTAACTTGTTTGCTATATGCTCTGCGAAACCAGCAAATTCATTTCTTCTTTTTTCACCTGCTTCAAGTATAATGTTTTGAACCTTTTCCAAAATGGGATCTGCAGTCTTGGACTTCTTAGAAGCACGTGGTTTTGGAGAGGGAACAGAGGAAAGCAGAGAGTCCGTTGTTTCTGAAAGTACCTCTTGGTCAGCAATGCTACTAGTCTGTTGGGCTTCAGTCCCCTGAAAACGAAAGAAATATTCAATATAATTAAAAAGGAACCTTTATTTTACAGATGCCATTACAAGCGACTGAATGGAAACGAGTCGCAAAGGATTTTGAAGACCGTTGGAATTTTCCTCACTGTTTGGGTGCAATGGATGGCAAGCACATTAGAATTATTTGTCCACCCAACAGTGGTACTCAATATTTTAATTATAAGCAGTTTTTTAGCATAGTGCTATTCGCAGTAACAGACGCAAGGTACAATTTTTTGTATGTACATGCTGGAGTTCAGGGAAGAATATCCGATGGAGGAGTTTTTAGGCATACGGCTTTTGGGCAAGCACTCCTGAACCAAAATCTTGACATACCACATTGTGAACCCCTTCCGGGTCGAGAAGTATCTACACCATATGTTTTCTTGGCAAATGATGCATTTCCCTTAACCGAAAATATTTGCAAGCCCTATACTGTAGATTTGAACATAGGATCTCCTAAGCGAGTATGTAACTACAGAATATCTAGAGCACGCCGAATTGTGGAAAACTCATTTGGAATTTTGGCATCCATTTTTCGTATACTACATACTACTATCAATGTTGAGATGAAAGATGTACAAAATATAGTTGTGGCTTGTGCATATTTACATAACTTTTTGCGACGAAATACAAGAGGAAAAGCTTTATATTCACCACCTGGGACCTTTGACAGGGAAGATATTGACCTTGGAACGATGATCCATGGATCATGGCAAGCTGATGGAGAGCGTTTAACAGATTTAAGAGTATTGGGAAGGAACTCAACAATGAGAGCGAAAGCGATTAGAGATGAATTTATACATTATTTTATGACAGAGCGGGGACGAGTGGCATGGCAGGACAAATATTTAGGAAATCCATAATCTATTAATAAATATATCACACTATCCAGTCCTGTATTTGGAGTATCTTGACTAAGAATAAACGACATCGAATCGTAAGCAAACAATTTTGTTTGTTTGCCGCCAGCACTACCACTTTTATTCTTTTTTCTTTCCTCATTATTCACATAAGTTCGCAGGCTTCGGAATTTCTTGTAAGCATCATCACTTGATATATCAAACTTAGTAGCAACAATAGACCATGCATCTTTTTTTGCATTTCTGTCTTTATACATTCCTGTTTCCACATTCCATATTTCAGGATGTAATTGCACTTCATTAATAAAGTCATTAGACCAAGTATTAGTCATTTTAATTTATTTTCTAAACAACACAAGAATAACAGCTGCTGACAGCACAGAATATCGCCACACCACAGATTTATTTCTTCACGTCGCGCAGAAAGTGAAACGCAAAGTACTTCACGTCGCAGGGAGAAAGGGACGCGCATATACAGTAAAACAGAACAACAATATAGATGGCCCAGATATATTGCAGTATTTTCGATTGCGAGGCGATCATTCGGCCACACGCCGGCTACACATAAAAACATTTTGACATACCAAAAAATATGTGGCTATAATGCCGGGCCATCCTTAAAATATTGCATAGTGTGGCTGGTATTGCTAGCAATGTTGCCGGCCACAGTATTGCAGCTACAAATTTGTCGTAAAATATAGCCTGTTTAGACGCCCCTTTAGGTAAACTTTTGAAGCCCTTTTTATCACGCGATATGGACCGTCATAGGGTTGTTTGAAAGGCTTACGTATTGAATCGTCCCGTACAAAGACATATCCACAGTTACGTAAGTCTTTATGCACAAAAAAACTGACAGTTACGTGAATTGTCAGATGTAGGCATATAACTACGAATAGTATCTTTAATCTTATCTACTAAACAATAGTCATTGACGTTACAGTTGTTCGAAGAGCTGTCATAAAAGTCTCCTGGTAGACGTAAGTTTCGTCCGAAAGTTAACTCGGTGGCGCTAATCCCTGAGTCGTTGCGGCCGGCCGCACGTAGCCCCAGTAATACCGTCGGTAGCTCTTCCACCCAAGATCCATGTGACAGGCGAGTCGAAAGTGCTGTCTTTAAAGAACGATGCCAACGTTCGACTGCGCCATTGCTTTGCGGGTGATAAGGAGTAGTTCGAATTCTATTAACCCCCAACATTTTTAACAGCTGGTTAAAAAGACTACTCTCAAACTAGCGACCTTGGTCGCTAGTTAACTTCATCGGGCAACCGTAACGACAAATCCACCTCCGACAAAGCTATTCCAAAGCTGGCAAAAACCATTAGCGCAAAGACTCCATGGTGGACAAAACAACTAAGCGACAAGAAAAAAGATGTAATCCGAAAAAGAAGGAAAATCAAACATGCCAACCAGAACAGAAGACAATCAGTGATTGAAGATTATATAACTGCTAAAGCAGAATACAAAAATCTCCTGACTGACACTCTCACTTCAAGCTGGAAAGACTTCTGTAAAAAACAAGACCGTGAAAATTTGTGGCAAGGGATATACAGGATTATAAGGAAATCGAGCAGAACTCCGGAGGATACATTGTTACGAGAAACGACAACTAGTAAGATAATGACCTCGGAAGAGTCTGCTAAAATATTATCTGAAACTTTTTATCCATATGACGATATCGAAACGGATGAACAACCACACTCAGAGATGCGACAAAAGGCTGAAACAATCAAGAAAGAATGGGCGAAGATCACCAAAGAAGATACCACAAAACCATTCACAAACACTGAGGTAGAATTTATTCTTCAATCAATGAGCCCTCGGAAATCGCCAGGAGAAGACAGTCTTACAGCCGACATATGTTACAAAGCTTATGCGGCTCTTCCACAGATACTCTTGGCAATTTACAACAAATGCCTTGCACTTGGACACTTTCCAAAAATCTGGAAAAGCGCAATAATTAAAGTCATCCCAAAGCCTAACAAGGAGAACTACACACTTCCAAAATCATATCGGCCAATAGGACTCTTACCTGTACTGGGAAAAGGGCTTGAAAAACTATTCGTTAATCGAATGACCTGGCAGATCGGCTCAGAAAATAAAATGAGCGGTAGGCAATACGGGTTTGTCTCACAGAGAGGGACTGAGGACGCCCTATGCGACGCCCTTGAGGTTGTCAGGCAGGGTTTAAAAAACAGTGAAATTGTTGTGATTGTCTCCATTGACATTGAAGGAGCTTTCGATAACGCTTGGTGGCCCGCAATGATTAATGAGCTTGATAAGAAAAAGGTTGACAAATCTGTATGTAGGCTAATCGGAAGTTATCTCACAGATAGACAAATAAAATTAACATACGCAGGTAGTGAGATAATAAAACAAACCAACAAAGGATGCATACAAGGATCTATTTGCGGACCTCTGCTGTGGAACCTGCAACTTGACCCATTACTAAGGGAGGTAGAAGAACTAGGCACCCACATACAAGCGTACGCAGATGACATATTAGTCATTGCGAAAGGGAAAGCAGTAAAGGACCTAGAACAAGAACTTAATACAGCACTTGATCACATACTTGCTTGGGCTAAAACTAGGAAGATGAGACTGGCGGCTCAGAAGACGCAAGCCATCCTACTAACTAGGAAATTAAAATATGAAACTCCATCGTTATCCCTCGATAATAAAGCAATAACGTTCTCTAACAGCATAACAATCCTTGGACTCACGATAGACGCCAATCTCAACTTTGTAAAGCACGTAGACGTAGTAACGGAAAAGGCAATTCAGCTTTACAAAAAGGTCTCAAGAACGGCACGAGCCAATTGGGGTCTTAATTCTGAAATTCTCAGAACAATATACATAACAGTGGTCGAACCAACAATCTTATATGCGGCGGGGGCATGGGGCACAACGGCCAATAAAAAGCAAATAAAAAAAAGACTCGATAGAATCACCAGAACTTTTGCAATAATGGTTAGCAAAGCACACCGCACAGCATCTTTGATATCATGCACAACACTAGCCCGAATCATCCCATTAGATTTAAGAGCCCTAGAAAATGCTGAGATCTACATGATAAAGAGAGGCAAACCTATTTCGCATTTACCAGGCAGAACACTAGCGAAACCAATAAGCCCTTACACGCTACCACACCCAGCAGACAGGACAAGACAACGGTTTGAACTGATAACATCTGAAAACGAAATAAAGGCTATTGGAAACGACTGGCCGTGCATATACACCGATGGCAGCAAAATCGCAGGTAAAGTAGGCGCTGCCATTACTTGTTGGAAGGATGGTAGAGAAATCCACAAGACCAAATTAAAACTCGGAAGCCATTGCAGTGTCTACCAAGCGGAACTTGCTGCCATCTTAAAAGCCACCGAAATAATGCTGCGTAGACACACTCTTAAGAAAGCAAATATCCTGAGTGACTCACGATCAGCTCTAGAATGCCTAACAAATCCTAACACCTTACACCCCATAGCAGCGGAAATTCTAGATCGCATAATGGAAATAGAGAGGCAACAGGGAAGAGTGAGCCTATATTGGATCAAAGCTCACTGCGGCATCCAGGGGAATGAAAGGGCTGACGAATTAGCTAAGTCGGCAGCGGAAACATCAAAACAGACACCGGTATACGATTGCTTCCCTCTGTCCCTCGCAAAGCGCCACATTAGGGACAACACTTTGCTTATCTGGCAAGAACGGTACACAACATCAGACACAGGTAGAGTCACAAAGAAGTTCTTCCCAAACGTGACCCAGGCGTATACAACAATTAAGAAGATTGCAGTCAGTAACCTGAGGTGTCAAATTTTCACGGGACATGGGGGTTTTAAAGCATACTTACATAGATTTAAGTTAGCGCAGAGCCCATACTGTGATTGTGACCACCTAACACCACAGACCATAGAACACATTCTCATAGATTGCCCTAAACACGCAGCTTTAAGACTCTGTTGCGAACACCGCATGGGATTTGCGCTGAGAGAAGACACTCTCTGTAGGGCAGTCAACGACAATGACAGTCGAACTCATTTCCTTGAATTTGCCGAAAGGTGTCTGAGGAAAGTATTACAAGGAAATGGGTCCAAGATATATTAGCCTTAAGAAAATATAGTTGTAATAGCAATAGTTATAAGTAGGCAATAGTAACACTTAACCACAAAAGATGTAGATAAAAGCTTAGGCTTGATAACTATAGCACTTCTTACTGATGATTTGAAATTTAGACAATAAGAATAATACTGATTAACAGTACTTATGAAAACTAGAAATACTCTGGAGAAGTAGTAAGATTTAAGTAGACAAAAGATATTTAGTAATTAAGAACATCTAACATAATATAGTCAGTCACTAATATTGTATAGCAAGCATGTGATAACAAATACTTAGACAGAGGAAAAAAAAAATGTAAAACTAGAAAGTAGCTTCATTAATCATCAGCTAGGAAAATAAGAAATTGTTATCCGAATAGAAGAAGTAGAAGTAATAGAAGTGTTTAGAAGCAAAGAATAGGAATAAGTGGCAAATAGAGTTAAGAAACCATGTACGCTAAAAAAAAAAAAAAAAAAAAAAAAAAAAGTATCAAAACTGATAGAATAAAATGTAAAAGATATAAAAGGTGCTGTAAAAGAAATAACAGCAGATGAAATGAGTAATTACAAAAAAAAAAAAAAAAAAAAAAAAAAAAAAAAAAAAAAAAAAAAAAAAAAAAAAAAAACGACAAATCCAACCCTCATATAAATGTTTGGCAACAGTTTCTGCTGTAAAGTCACGTAATGGAAAAGCTTCGGATCACTTAGTCCTCCTATCAATTATCGTGAGTAAGTATCTATAACCATCTGGTGAAATCTCAAGAGGGCCAACGATATCGATGTGCACATGCTTAGAACGATCTACTTCCGGAAACTTAGTCAAATTCGATACCGTATGTCTGTTAACTTTAGAACGTTGACATTGTATGCACGTTTTTGCCCATAAAGAAACATCACGATACATACTCGG